AGCAACATCGTCACAGCCACAAGCAGTAATTCTCATCATAGGTATGATGGCGTTTGATGATGATGACGACGATGCAGCGGCCGTTTGTGAATGTGAGCGGACCCTGCTGCTCCAGCGGAGTCTTCAATGTTTCGGAAGAGGTCAGAAGAAACGGTCATTAACCCATTGCGCAAAGGCAGAGAGCTTCAATGCCCCTTAATTTAGAATGCTGCACCGTCTCTGCCAGCAGCAGCAGTATTGTAGTAGTAGTAGTAGTAGTAGTAGTCGTCGTCGTAGTAGTAGTAGCAGGAGTAGTAGTAGTAGTAGTAGTCGTCGTCGTCGTCGTCGTCGTCGTCGTCGTGGTACTATTGGTACTTTCTGGGACCAGGCCCCTCCTCCAGAGCCGGTCGCCGAGGAGAAGGTAGCAGACTGCAATCTGTGGATTTGCAGGTTTTTGTGGGATTTCAAACGATTCGGGGGTACCATGTAGGGGTCTTTGAAACTGGCCGGTTTTCGCCTCTGTCATCATGTAAACCCATAGTATTATGCGTCAAAGGGGCTTATAGACCGTAAACCCTAAACCCTAAACCCTAAACCTTAGATAATGTGAATCCTTTCGTTTCGCGTTTTTATTAGCTTCCGTATGGGCACCGTCTCCAGGCACCTGAGCCAGAACCCGTCAAGGAGGAGAAGGCCAGGGAGGTTTAGGGTTTAGGGTCTAGGGTGTAGGGTTTAGGGTTTTAGGGTTCAGGGTTTAGGGTTTAGGGTTCTAGGGTTTAGGGTTTAGAGTACTCAGCGACCGTGCTGACACGTGAGTGTTGCTGTAGTGACAGTGTCGATCGCACTGGATGAGGGTCCTAAACCCTAAACTCCAAACCCCAAACCCTGAACCCTAAACCCCCGTTACAGAGGGTTGAAATTGCAACAGCAGTGATGAAATGATGGCAATCAGACGTATACACCTGACGGCGTAAGGTGAAGCTTGGTCGAGGGTTTCTTTCTTTCTGTTTGACCGACCCTAAACCCTAAAACCCTAAACCCTAAACCCTAAAACCCTAAAGCCCTAAGCCTTAAAACCCTAAACCCTAAAACCCAAAAACCCAAAACCCTAAACCCTAAAACCCTAAAGCCCTAATACCCTAATACCCTAATACCCTAAACCCAGTCGCTCACCCCATGGGGTTCTTCAGGAGGCCTCGGCGGACTGAAAAAGGAGCGCTTGAAAAAAGGCCCTAAACCCTAAATTTAGGGTTTAGGGTTTAGGATTTAGGGTTTAGGGTTTAGGGTTTAGGGATTCTAAGCCCTAACCTTACACATCCTTACACCCCCAAGCCCAAAACTGCGTGCTGTGGGAGGCCCCAGCTCCGGAGCCAGTGGCCGAGGAAAAGGCCGAGACGCCAGCGTCCAGCAGATTCCGGCTTAGGGTATTAGGGTATTAGGCTATTAGGGTATTAGGGTATTAGGGTGTAGGGTTTAGGGTTTAGGGTATTAGGGTTTAGGGTATTAGGGTTTAGGGTTTTAGGGTATTAGGGTTTAGGGTTGTAGGGTTTAGGGTTTAGGGCTTCGGGCTTAGGGTTTAGGGTTTAGGGTTTCAGGGTTTAGGGTTTTAGGTTTTAGGGTTTAGGGTTTTGCTCAGGCACCCGAGCCTGAGCCGGCCAAAGAGGAGAAGGCAGGTTCCTATGCCAGTGGTTTAGGGTTTAGGGTTCCTAAACCTTAGACCCTTGGGGGCCAAAACCCTAAGCCCTGAACCTTGGGGGCCCTAAACCTTACACTTTCTGAGTGTGCAGCAGCTTTGTGCCAGAGTTCTCCTGGAGTCAATGTTGGTTTAGGGTTTAGGGTTCAGGGTTTAGGGTTTAGGGTTCAGGGTTTAGGGTTTAGGGATGAATAATTAGAGTAGGGCTTTGGTGTTATATGATATAACCCCAAAGCCCTTGTTCTAGTGATTCATCCAAGTGTGCTATCGGAGATATATTGCAGTATAGCTGAGTGAAAGACTATGACAGTATATTATTACTCATTACTCAGACTCCCTAAACCCTAAACCCAGACCTCTATACAGGAGAGAGGCGTCTGCATGCAAGTGCAATCGCCTTCTCTTCGGCAACTGGCTGCGGAGCTGGGGCCCCTAAACCCTAAACCCTGAACCCTAAACCCTAAACCCTCGCATCAGTTGACACGCAGGCTCCTGAGCCGGAGCCAGCAAAGGAGGAGAAGGCGTTGGGTTTAGGGTTTAGGGTTTAGGCGTAAAGGGTTCCGGCAAGGGTTCTTTTCGGGCCCAAAACCCTAAATCCTAAACCCCAAGCCGTAGTGAACCCCAGAAAGTTGGAACATGGATTTAGGATGATTCGTTCTGGGATTCCCTTTACCTTACCTTAAGGGCATGAGGAGAATCATGTTCCAACTTTCTGGCTTCTACTATAAACCCAAACTCCAGCCCGAAGAGCTCCGACTGAGCTGCCGCCCCACTTAAAGGATCATGGGACTTAGTAAGTAGGGGTATAACTAAGGTAACTGTACTTATAACCCCAACGAGTGGACTTATAACCTTACTTACTAAGTCCCATGGTCCTCCAAGCATTGCATCCGACCAGGCACCAAAGGCCGCTTCTCCGAGTGGCAAGGCTCGGGAACTGTTGTAGTTTTTTTGATGTAACCCTAAACCCTAAACCCTAAACCCTAAACCCTAAACCCTAAACCCTGATGTTCTTTGAATGACGTTATGGGGTTTCATGAAGTTTTTGGGGTTACTTTCTTTTGGGCTTGTGAGGTCTTATGGGGCTTCATAGGGTTCGATAGGGTTTCAGGGTTGCTGCCTTGGTTGCTTGAGAAGAAGTAGCATACGGGGTGCCACAAGATGGGCAAATGTTGGGATGTAGGTTTTTGGGGAGTTTATGAGTTTCGGGGTTCAGTCGGGGTTCAGGGCCGGGCTTGGGCTTTTCTATCTTCTTCCGATCCGTATGAGCGCCGGGCCGCATTGCGGGGGTGTGGGCGGGGTGGGCGGGCTGGGAGGCAGGGAGACTTTCAGGATTGAGTAGTATCAAAAACTGTTTGTAGTGTAGGAAAGGGGTTGGCAGCTTCGCATGTGAAGTGCACTTCCGGATCATGCCGTTGCGCCACTGCTTCGTGATATGTTGTGCGGCAATGTCTGATGATTGCCTGTTCTGTGTCTTTATTTGGAACAAAAGGTCTTGCACATTCAAATGCACAGTATCAATTTCGGGGCACACGAGTCACGAGTTTTTGTTTATCGTGCGAGCATGTATGTATAGTTCCACTGAGTCTACGCGGGCATTCAGGCGCACAAATATGTTGCATGTTGGCTTTCTGTGAGTGGGTCGTGCCTGTGGCCCGCCCGCCCACCCGCCTGGCCGTCCGGGTGCGCCCTCTCGCTCGAATGCAAGCTCATCAACACGTTCACACACACAACTAAGTACATCTGTAGAGTGATATACGTAGTCATTTATAGAGCAATAGATAGGCATATATGTGTTTATGTATAGGACGTATGTACATAAATGCATGCATGCATGCATGTGCCTCCGTGTCTTTGCGCTAGCGTTTGTGTATGCATGTGCCGCGGTAGGAGTGAGAAGCAGGGGCAGCAGAGCCCTAAACCCTAAACCCTAAACCCTAAACTCTAAACCCTAAACCGTGCCGAACCGCTTCTGTGATTCGATGTCAGGATGTCAAAGCGCTGCGGGAGAGATCCCGCGCGGGCATCCTGGACCGCGTTGCATTGTGGGCTTCATTGTTGGGAGCTAGGATTAGGGGGACCCTTGGGGATATAGACCCTCTCAATAAGGTCCCTTTTAAGAGAGCCAAAAGTAGGGTTCAGAAGGGGTGCCCTTTAAGGGGTACTCCTAATAATACTACCCACATGTGCAGTGATCGTTTCGGTAGTGCCGTGTCCAGTCGTGAGGAATTAGAGGAATCGGTGTCGAAGCAAGGTCATGCACAAAGCATGCCATGCTTAATCTCTAGATAAACCCTAGACCCTAAGTGGATCATGAGCCCTAATCTCTGGATCATGAGCCCTAATCTCTGGATCATGAGCCCTAATCTCTGGATCATGATCCTCTGGAGAGGGTCGAAAAGACGAACTTCATGCCGAACCTTGGATGAAATTGCCAGGACTGCAAGAAAGCCTTGACCGAGTGCGGCGGAGACATGGACAAGGCTCGACTAATGTCACATTCGCGCATATTCTACATGGTGATACGGTTTAGGGTTTAGGGTTTAGGGTTTGATGTCAGGCCACACGACTTCATTCAGTTCACAACGTAGTCGACCAGGTTTTCCCGACATTGTGTCGTGCTGTGCTGGACGGCTTGGGTCTCCCACTTGCAGATGCGCCAGATAGGATCGTAGATCTGATGAGGTACATGATCTCGTGCTGTGTTTGGTCCATCCAAGCAAAATCCTGTCGCCTACTTCTGTCGTACAGCTTGAGGGCAAGTGCCTCGCAGTGGCCTGCCTCAGGCTATGGAGTGGCTGAAGAAGAAGGGCATGGCAAAAGCCGACAAGAAAGCTGGCAATGTGGCAGTGGAGGGCTGCGTGGCCTCGTATGTCCACTTCAACAACAAGATCGCTGTCCTGGTAGAGGTGAACAGTGAGACCGATTTCGTTGCCAGCAACGCGATCTTCAAGGAGTTCACTGCTGATGTCGCCATGCAAATTGCAGCCAACTCTGATGTGGCGTACGTGACCACGGATGACGTTCCTGCGGCGGAGATGGAGAAAGAGAAGCAGCTTGAAATGACCAAGGAGGATCTGGAGGGCAAGCCAGATGCGATCAAGGAGAAGATTGTGGGAGGCCGCTTGAAGAAGAAGTTCGAGGAGAAGGCGTTGATGAGCCAGAAATGGTTGAAGGACGAGGACATCAGTGTCCAGGAGGCCGTGAAGCAGACCATTGCAAAACTCGGCGAGAACATCGTCATCAGGCGTTTCCAGCGCTTGACTTTAGGCGAGGGCCTGGAGAAGAAGGACGACGACTTCGCCGCTGGAGTGGAGAAGGAGCTTGCCAAGTACAAGAACGCAGGTGGAGAGGCAAAGGAGGAGAAAAAGGAGGAGAAGGAAGAGAAGAAGGAAGAAAAGAAGGAGGAGAAGAAAGAGGAGGAGAAGAAGGAAGACAAGCCGAAAGTTGCAGTCTCTGCAGCACAGGTGAAGGAGCTGCGCGGCCGGTCTGGCGCAGGAATCCTCGACGCAAAGAAGGCCTTGACCGAATGCGAAGGAGACATGGACAAGGCCATGGACTGGCTCAAGAAGACACTTGGAATGCTTGGGCTTCAACACTAGGGCAAACTCGAAATTTCCGGTGCGAGAGCTCATTCAGTCAAGCAGACAGCCTGAAAGACCCTAAACCCCAAGCCCTAAACCCCGAGCCCTCAGCCATAAACCCGAAACCCAACCCTGAACCTTTAACCCTAAGCCCACAGCCCTGAACCCTAAAATCCTAAAGTCTTTCATCTAAGGAAAGGCATGGCCAAGGCTGACAAAAAGGCTGGGAACCTCTCCGCGGAGGGCGTCATCGCCTCCTATGTGCACTTCAACTCTAAGCTGGGCGTGCTTGTGGAGGCCCTTAGTAGGGCTTAGACGGTTTAGGGTTTAGCTTACATGTAGTAGGGCTTATAAGGGTTTAGGGTTTAGCTTACTTGTGGTAGGGTTTATAATGTTTAGGCTTTGGGTTCATTAACGTTTAGGGTTGGAAGGTTACGTGCCTTAGAACATTAGCCGCCTTATCTTCCGGCTGTTGTCATGGGGTGACGAGCATTACAAGTAAACGCCCTTCCCCAGGTTAACAGTGAGACCGACTTCGTCGCCATCAACTCGATCTTCAAGGAGTTTGCGTCGGACGTTGCCATGCAAATCGCAGCCAACCCAGATGTCCGAGCCTTAAGCATCTTGCGACGCCGGGAGATGCTGTAGCTGGTCATGGACTGGTGTTCTGTGGCAGCATGGCTAGGTGAACTTCATCTCCGTCGACGATGTGCCAGCCGACCTGATGGAGAAGGAAGCGTGGTACGGTTTAGGGTTTAGGGTTTAGAGTTTAGGGTTTAGGGTAGTTCACTTCACTGAACAGTAAAGAGGCCCGTTTGTTGTTGGCTATCGTAAGAGCCTCCAGGATAGCAGGCCCAAGCGAGACGGCATTTAGGGCTGCCAGATACTGGAGGTTGGATAAATGTTAGCATTGGAGGGCAGATCACGTGCCTGATAATAGTAACAACATTAGACTGATGCTAATATTATCGAGTACTAGTGATGATCATAAGAACCTTCGCAACATATATCATATATTGGGATGCCATGTTGCAGCTTCATGTCAGACAATAGTTTCTTGCACAAGGCACAACACACACAACATAGCAAAACACAATGCGCGATACGGGAGTCCCTTAAACTTCACAACATGCAGCCCATGACGCCTAAACACTAAAGAAGCGACGTGCCCTGAACCCCAAATGGCCCTAATCCCTAAACCCGAAACCCTGATGGCCCTGAGCCCTAAACCTTCCCTAAACCCTAAGCCCAATGGCCGTAAGTTTACCTGGCCTGACCCTTCCTTCGACTTTTCCAGGAGAAGGCTCTTGAGATGCAGAAAGAGGAGACATGTGAGTCGAAGGGTTTAGGGTTTGGGGCTTCGCCTCCAGTCTTTAGTGTTTCGGGGTTTTCCTTCAGGATTAAGGGTTCAGGGTTGGAGTTTGGGTAAGCCGCACAGTTGATGTCCAATGTGGCATAAGGAAAGAGTACATGATCGAATGTGATATGATAGAGTGCAGTATGCTGCACGGAAGGATATACCACATGTGCATGTGCATTTACACACGTACGTGTAAGGTACGGTACATCTGCCCTACTCGCATGCATAGGTCCTAGCACCTTGTGCATGAGATAGAGGCACGCGGCACAGTAACATGTGCAGATACTTGTGCACGCATGTACATGTGTATGTATGCATGTATATCAGCCTAAAAATGGAAGAAGCCATACCAACTGTGCAATGTCCTTACTCCCACCCCACAAGCTTACATCCCAACCCTAAACCCTAAACCCTAAACCCTAAACCCAAGAGCAGCAGGACCTGGCAGAGAAGCCGGATGCCATCAAGGAGAAGATTGTGTCCGGACGTCTCAGGCCGAAGCTGCGGCGCCAAAAAGTGTAGGAGTTCAAAGGGTTTAGGGTTTCGGGTTTAGGGTTTAGGGTTTAGGGTTTCGGGTTTAGGGTTTAGGGTTTCGGGTTTAGGGTTTAGGGTTTAAGGGTGTAGGGTTTAGTGTTCCGGGTTTAGGGTTTAGGGT